TAGATACCACAAATTCGAACAACAGACCGGATACCACTAAATTCGGACTAGGGGTGTTCGCGGTCCGGTTTGGGTGGTTTAACCCCTCAAACCACAAACCAAACCGTAATAGCAGTTTATAAAATTTTCAAACCGAAAGGTTTGACATCAAGTGCCCAGACCGGTCAAACCAAACCACGAAAAGGCGGTTTGGTCTGACCGGTTTAGGCGGTTTGGGCCTTTAATAGAATTTAAATATTAAACTTAAAAAACATATATAATTTAGAATTTCAAATTAAATCTCCATTTTAACAAAACAAAATATCTAAACAAATAAATGTAATAATTAAGCAGTTCTTGAGTACAAAGTCGAAGCAATCCAAAGTACAAACAAATAAATATATAACATATTAGAAAACAAACAAATTAACAAAGTTACAACTCTACTACGAGTATTGAGTAACAAAATTCACGACTTCACAACCTTTAATGGTTCAATTTTTGAGTCTTGAGTTCTTGACCAAACAAAATAGAAGCCAAATCTAAGTTGGTTGAATCACTTGGTTGATGTCTTGATGATGTGCGCCGAAATCTAACCATGGATTAGAAAGATCAATAGATTGATGGATTTCTTGAGAGATTTCAAATTTTGGAGACCGTTAATATCAAATGTGTCGATATGTTCAATGGTTTAATGGTTTTAGTCGTCGATTTTGATTATGTTGGATGTTAGGCTTAGGGATATATTTGGGTCATAGCCAATAAGTTAAAAAAGTTGGGCTTACTAATATTAAAATAGATAAATAAATAAATATATGCATTTGACGGTCGATTTGGTCCAAACCGCCCAAAAAGGTTCCAAACCGCAGACCGAACCAGACCGCCCGGTTTTGCTATTTTCCAAACCAAACCGGACCGCTAGACCTCTCAAACCGCCAAAAACGGTCCGGTTTGACTTGATTCGGCCGGTTTGAGCGGTCCAACGGTTTTTTTGAACACCCCTAATTCGGACAACAATCAATATTCAATGACCGGATTGATAATCAAATCGCTCGATATATATCTTTAATGAGCGATGATTAACAAACACAATTTCTAACAAAAATACACCAAAACATCGATCAAACACACAAAATTTATGAACTTTTGATACGAACAAACACAGTCCAGAAACTTCAAAAATCTTCAAATTTTGACATTTAGACAATCAATTACACAAATTGTTTGAACACAATGATTCAAAACAATAATTCGCACAAGATGAGCAGTAAATCAATGATCAAACAACAAAGATTAGATGATTTTAGATGAAGAAAAGAAGAATATGTTCAATAATCCTCAAGAACACTCAAGGACACATGAAGAACAGTCCGAATATGTGTAAATTTCCAGATTTTTGTGCAGATTTTTCAAATTTTATGCAGATTTTCTAATCAAAATCGCTGCAGTTTGCTCTAATACCAAATATGAATCCCAAATCTTCAATCAGATTAATATCAATCAAGAACAGAATATGAACTTTAGAGAGAATTTTCACCAAAGGTTTTTGTATTCAAATTCTTTGAAGATTACAAATGATTTCAACTAACTACAAAATTACAAAGAAAGACTATTTATACCTACAAAGCATTAAAGACTAAATTTACAAATGGAGAAACACTTGAATACAACATTAAGCACAACTTAAACCCAACAAGAAAGATACTAATAAATGGAATGAAGTTTTGATTAGAATAATTGTTGTTGTGAAATGTATAGCACAATATATTTTGCTTTTCATGGATCAAATGAAAAAATTCATCAAAAATTCTAATGGAGTTCTTTTTGGGTATAGTTCAAATAATTGTCGAGTTTGATCATGTCATGAAACAACATTTTCGGCTAATTAAAGGCAAGAAATTCATTATCATTATCTTAGCCATGAAATTTGAAATAAATGGATACAATTATTGGCATCTGAAATTAAAAGTGTGATTATTAAAAATTCAAAGAGGCAAGATATTTTTCGGTACTTTTTTATTGCACCCCTGATGCAAGTCACAAGGAACAAATGACTTTCATTATAAGATGTGTTCATATGTCGTATGCTCCCATAAATGTAGAAGAGTTATTCTTATAGTTTTTGGTCATAGATGATACATCTGGTTTAGGTCTTTTTAATGTGTTACAAGATGTTTTTTTATTAACCTGGATATCCAACCCGCTATGCGAACCGATTAATCCCAGGGCGACCACCTGCTTTGCAGCCTTGCAGGTGGCCCGAAGTCACCGTATTTGAACCTCCGTGGCCACAAGGGGATTTTTATTTCTCATTGGATTTGAACATGAGACCTCTAGGTACTCTTGACCTTTGGAACTCAAGCTCAAACCAATCAGGCACCACCCTTGTGGTTAATGTTACAAGATGTTGTAAAATCTTTAGATTTAGACATCAATTGTGTGTGAGGACAAGGTTATCACAATGGATGTAATATGAAAATAAAGTATCAATGTGTTTAAAAAAGATTGTTTGATGTAAATCCTAAACCATTTTATATGCAAAATGGTTGTCATTGTCTTAACTTAGTTTTGTGTGATATGGCAAATTCTTGTCATAAAGCAAAAAAAAAATTTGGAACATGTCAAACATTACACAATGTATTTGCTAATTCTACCAAGCGATGTAATGTTTTACTTGAGTTTATTGATGATTTGACTTCAAAATCTTTGTCTACTATCCGTTGAGAAAGTCATATTAAAAGTGTTGAAGCTATAAAAAGTCAATTTGCTCAAATAAAGGAAGCTTTGTTGAAATTATCCAAGTTAGCAATGATGAAAAATTACATAAAGATGATGAATCTTTAATAAATGGTGAACTTACAAGTTTTGAACCTATTGTTAATTTGGTTATTTGGCACGAAATTTTATATAGAATGAATTTGGTTAGCAAAAAATTACAATCTAAAGATATTCTACTTGATATTGCGATGAAAAATTTAGAGGTATTGGTTTTTTATTTTTGAGAAATATAAAGAGATTGGGCTTACTTATGCCGTTATGGAAGCTAAAGAAATTGCAAATGAAATTGGATTTGAACATGAGTTTCCTATAAAACCTTCTTATTTTAAAAAAAAAAAATCAATTTGATGAAAATTTAAATACTGAAAGAGAGCAACAATCTGCTCAAGGAACATTTAAAACTGATCATTTTCTTGTTTTGGTTGATATAGCTCTATCTCAATTGAAGACTAGATTTGAGCAAATAAAAATTTTCGAATCGATTTTTGATGAAGGTGGTGTATAAATGATGATGAATTAAAAAATTGTTGTATAAATTTTGAAGTAGCATTAACATACTAATGATTGTGATATTGATGGGAATTTGTTTATGGAATTGCAAATTTTGCAGAAAATGTTACCATTGGAAGCATATAAAGAAGCAAAACCATGGACATCAATTAAGATTTTGGAGTTTGCAAAGATGGATATGTTTCCAAAGGTGTTGCTTGTTTATAGGATTTTGTTGACTGTGCCCATCACGATAGCATATGCTAAAATAAGTTTTTCAAAGTTAAAGTTATTAAAGTCATATTCACAGTCTACCATGCGTCAAGAAAGGCTAGACGAATTAGTAGTTTTAAGTAGTGAAAGTAAATTTTAACGAATGTTGGATATGAAAATTTATGATGCTTTTTTGCTTCAAGAAATGCATCAAGACATCGTTTTAAGTGATATATATTATATTTGTAATTTGGGGTTTTGGTTTTGATGGTATTTTCATACCAAGTCAACAACCTATAAAATAGATTATCATAAAAAAACAAGAAACACCATGTATGCATAGGTGCATATATACCATGGATTAGCTGATAAGGCAGGTCGAGGTGGGTCGGAATGGTGAGTGGTGTCAGCGTTGGGCAATGAGGGTGAAGGGGTTGGTGGTGAGTGGTGGTGCGTGGAGTTGGTGGTTGCAGGGTTGGGGTTGGGGTTGGACCTTAACCGATCGTTGGCTAAAAATTTAGAATCAAATCTAGACCATCAATCTTAACCGAACTTAACTAGTCTAACCTATCCTTTGGTATTTAAAAAAAACAACTACACGAAAAGGAATAAAGTGGACAATTACCTTTGAAAAACATCTAGAAGTTTCACTTGATTGTAAACTAAATAATCATACGAGATAGAAATTAGTTAAACTATAATATATTAAACAAATTAATTCTTTTTAAATTCTTTTATCTTTTGACTTCAATTTCTATTCATATATTGTTCATGACTTTTATGTTGCCTTTGATACATGAGCCTAGACAGAACAAGACAAAAGAAATTGACAGTTCCACGTTTGACGCAAAATGAGACATGACACCAGCAACCGATCCATATTTGGCAAGACATAAAACATGGGTGTAATAGAACTAAAAGACTAATCCCACCCTCATTTAATATAACCCTAATACGATATTTGGTTTAATGGTCACCACCAATATCTAGTCATCACCGAATCTCCGCCACCCTCGGCTACCATTACCATTGCCCACCATCTCTACTTCTACAACCACCGTTGTTGGTCGCCATTACTTTCCAACGTTGGCCACCACCTCCACCACCATCCATCACCACATCTATCTCCACTACATCAACCACCATCACTGCCACCTCTACCTCCTCTACAACCACCAACTCCACCTCCAAATCCACCACCTTCCACATCATCCATAACCACCATCAACCACTTGTTTATATAGTGTTAGGGGTTGTTTAATTACCTTTTAATAGTTTCATTAAGACATCGACTCTGAATCATTAAGAGACCGACTCTAAATCATTAAGAGTAAAAGGTTGTTTGTTTACCTATTAATTGTTTCATTAAAAGACAGCTTTTGAATCCTTAAAAGGTGAATTTTGTTTGGCAAAAAAAATCTACCTCTTAATGGTTCTAAAACCCTTTGAATGATTTTATATCATGGGTCTCCCTTAACCATTAAACGCTTTATTTCATTGTAAACAATTACCAAACAACTATATTACATTTTTCACTATATCATGAAAGTATCTTAATCATTTTTACCACTTAATCATTCTGCACCAAACCATTCAGCAACTGTCAAACAGCCCATAAATTTTGTTTGGAAAAAAATCTATCTCTTAATGGTTCTAAAACCTTCTGAATGATTTTGTATCATGGGCTTCCCTTAACCATTAAAAGCCTAATTTCATTATAAACAATTACCAAACAATTATATTTCCTTTTGCATTCTATCATGAGGGCCTTTTAATCATTTTGACAACTTAATCTTCTGCACCTAATCATTCAGCAACTGTCAAACAGCCCCTTAATTCTATAAGAAGAAATGGGAAGAAGTACTTAACATCGGAAAAGGGTAGTCTAGCGTGTAAGCACAACAATGAACCACGACAATGGATTCAACGGATCATCCACATCACGAGTTGGCTGCGAACCTACAAATAAAGGGGGTTTGAATAGAGATTAGTTGTGTTTTAAAAGTTATGAATTATTGCCTCCCCCTTTTAAAAAAGAAAGAGAAGACGTACCCTGAAATAAATGATTGTTCCCATGGAACCTTCCCACGATCATAGTTGTCCTCACTGGAATCAAAATCTTTGCCACCACCACCTTTACCTCTGCCATTGTCATCAACATCAACACCAACACCACCACCACCTTTATAGCCTACACCACAATCACCACCTCTTCTACTACCACCGATTATCACAACATAAAATCAGTAAACAATATTTAGGGGCAACTTATTTAACCCAGTCTTATTCGATCCTAGTCACGCCAACCACCAGAAACACTTCTTACATGCAGTCATGTTCAGTTTTGTTCAGGCCAATCTAGTCATGTTTATATATCAAACGTTACCTTATTTTAGTGTAAGTGATATTTTTTTTCTTTAAAACATTCATAATTATCTCTTTTATTATTGATGACCACAAATATTATATTGATATTCCTTCTATTTTTCTGGTTACAAAAAATAGTTGCGGTAAAATAGGGTATTGACCGGTTTTTTGGGCTCTGACCAAGCCTTTTGGAGGTTTTCGCCTGTAACCTGGTCCTTGGGAACATTTCTAAAGCGGCTTGGTAATCAGTCCTTACCGGTCCAAAATCAGTTAAGTCAGTCTTCTATACATCTCTACGCCGAGGCCTAGTCGTTACTCTTGCTAGTTGCGCTAGCCCTCAAGATGACATTATCGTATCTTCTTCGCAACCTACTTGACAATCCAACCAGCAGTCACAAGTGATCCCAAACTGTAGTTTGACATATCTATGTTTATCACTCATTGATCTGATCTAAATGATCTCTCAAGTTGCATCCATGAAGCACGAAGAGTCTTAAGGACGCCTTTGATTACTTTCTCATTTCCCAAATCTTACAAGCAGTCTTTTGTAATCATTTTCTACATACCACAGCGGATATCAACATCCACAAGATTCAAGATTTCTTTATAAGTTCTCAACTTTGGACCAACTAAACCCACAAGAACCCTAAACTCCACAAAGTGGCAGCCCATCAAGACTTGGCACACAAAAAAGCAGTTGTCGAGCCAAGTCTTGATTTTAGATTGCAATACACACCCTATGAAGATTATTACATCATACGGACCTCAAGTCTTCGTTCCATGTCTGCTTGTCTTTCTTTCACAAGACCAATTCTGCTACAGATACGGTTCTCAAGAATGAAACCTTCTTAAAGTTGTTCTTGTGGTTCTTCGGTCCCTGCAAAGATGAATCAAAGAGTTTGTTTGTTCCCAGAAAACTTGCTGTCAATATGAACTAAAATAAACAAATAGAACAAGTAAATGGATAACCAACAACAAAAGGATACAAGAGAACAGCAGCCCGGCCTCCTTGCAAATCCACTCACCCCTGCTGTATACAACACATACAACATTAGACGCATAGAGACATGCTAACCTAAACAACAAATATCCAGAATTCGCATACCACAAGAAGCATATGCATCTCTGACTTGTAATCTACTAAATAGGAGGTGGGGTTGCAGAAACCCACAAACTCTACACTATAAAATGTTAACAAGAATCACTTCAATCAAGTATTCAAGCATTGGATGACCTTAGATACTCCATCTGATCCACCAGTTCTTGCAAATCCTCATCCCAATCAAGATTTTGACCATCTAAACTATCAAGAAACTCTTCAGGCTCGTTTTCAATGGGAAGATTTACATTCAAGAGTTCCTCCCACAAATTCCCACTGGAATCATCCTCCACAAAGCTTGAAACATCTCCTTGATTACCCACATCGCTACTTGATTCATCTTCAACGGGAGTAGGTGCTAAAAGAAACGAATCAACATTCAGTTGGATGTTCTTCATACCACCAGCCACTTCTTGTAGATTTTCCACACTTGGTGCCATCGTTAACCGCCTTTTCCGACCAATTTCAATATGATCTTGCCCCTTCTGTGCATACTTATCCATGTATCTTTGTAGGAATTCAGGATTACTGAATGCTTTTGCGAGAAAACCCATCATGTTCTGTTGCTTTCTTTCGGTGGTTCTTAACCTGTTTTCCATGGCTATGAGCTGGTCTATAGAATGCTGCTGTAGTTGCCTCAGCCTCACAATTTCTGCCATTAACAAACTCCTGTCCCTTTTCAGTGCTTCAAGCTCCTCCTCCATCCCGTATTGGCCTACTTCAATGCACACACCATATTCTTGCTTCTGTTGGGTGGATTGCGCTATATTTCTTCTTCTTCTGATCGTCTTCAGGAGATGCCTCTGACCACCAAGAAACCCTTCATTTGCAAATTCCCATCTATCTGGATCCACTTTTCTGAAACCCTGTAAACATTTTACATTAAATTCATGATTGTATCAAATTATAGCGAGAATAACTGAGAAATCGATAAAGAAATCCCAATTGGTGATCTTATAAAAAATCAACACAGCGGCACAATCTAAGAACACAAAAACATAGCATCTTCAAAACTACAAGTCCAGAAGGACCAGAGAACAATTAGAAAAATCCCAATTTGAATAAGTGAAGAACTCCCACGAATTGGTCTAAGAAACTAAAATTTCATACGCCATCATACCGCCTGAATTTGAAATTAACACAATATTTCAAGAGAACACATGACATAAAACTACTACTAAAGCATTTTAAATAATATGAACACACATATACGTAAAATTAATCCAATTTCTGAAAAGAACACGCTCATAAGCTACTATTACAGCATTTTAATCAAACACCTTGCAAACTACACACAAGTGTGATCCTCAATGGGAGAGTGGAGAAGGAAGACTTACATAAGTATTAAGCTGGCGAATGAAGCTAGAAAAATTGCCATGCTTAAAATACCTCGGAAGCAGAGTTGTGGAAAACTTGTAAGAATCCCAAACAACAAAACTATTCCTTCCTCTACTCCACGAAACCACCGAATCCGTTGATGGGTCTTCCACCATATCATATGTTTTCGTCAGAAACGGCGGTGGACCTACCTCATGCAACCCTTCCCTCGGCCGCGGTGAAGAAGATGAAGACGATGAACCAGCAGTTGCAGCAGTATTCGTAGACGATACAAATGTTACGTCCTCCTCTTTCACACTTGCTCCTCCTTGCAATTCCGTCTTGAACTCCATTAATCCAAATTTTCCGATTAGGGTCTTGATGATGATCAACGAAAGACAGAAATGGCGTCGTTTAACATTTGGACTTTGTTTTCAGAGAGTATTAATAGGGGAAGGAGATAAGACGGATTCAGTAGAAGGTTCTAGTTAGAGAGGATGGTTCTTGGAATCATGATGTGATATTTTCGAATTACGCTAATGCAGGTATTGCTTGATGATTTTTTTTGTCGCTTTATGGGCATGCTTTGATTATTTGTACTGTACAAGTAAGAACGCAGGAGTTTATAAGCTCTCAGTACGTGGGGTGCACCGTGTGGGTGTGACTTATATATGTGGACAAGTTCCAGAAAGGTCTAGAGGATTCATTTCCAAATAAAAAGTGTCATAATATATGATGGAAAGAATTACAGAATTGGTCCTCTGGGTTTAGTGAAAATTACGAAATTGGTTCCTAAATTAACGGTTTCGGATTATTCAATCTGCAGGTTAAACAGTTTGGTTGACCAAATAAGATAGATTTCGATTATTTTTTTATCATTTCGGTTAACAAAATAGAAAAATATACTATTAAATAATTTTCTTCTAGATGAATTGGTTTGTACATATATAAAACTAAAATAACAAGAAACTGAAATATATTTATCAAAATCATCAACCAAACATTATCATATATACCAAGAGATCGACTATCAAGCAAGAAAGAGAGTGGGAGGTTCTATTAAAACGGACTACGCCACTTGGAGAAACTGTTCAAAATAACGGGAGGAACTAAGGATATAAGAATATAAAAAGGTTACTTAATTTTGACAAGTCCAGTCCGGCCTTGACCTCCATCACATTATTCTTAAGCTTGAGCGAACATTTCTATTATGGTTATATGACATATCCAACGACCATCAAGATGTTCGATTTCATTTCCAAAGCTCGTTTATTAAAAAGATACCGAATAACTTTATGAATTATTTGATCTTTCATGCACCACTGGGCATCTATGATGTTCACCATTTTTCATCGTTCCGACCATTACTTCCAATCCAACTATAAAAAACCAACAAGTTTTCTTAAATCTAAAACCCAAGTATAGATTTCAAATTCTAAAACACTGTTTCCATTTTTAAACAAAAATTGTGCCATCAATTTCAACAAAAAGAGAAGTTTACAAGTTGAGAGTATCTGCAACTCCCAAAGCAGCATTCACTAAGCCAAGTTCATCCCAATCTTCTTCTGTTCCTTCAGGCAATCAGTTTTACCGATATCATCTGATGAGAATTGAAACCGAAAAATTTGATACAGGCTTGTCATCAAAATATTTCGGTTCTGCTCTGCTCCTTTTGTTGGTCACTCTGAGTGAAATGGGTTGAAAAGCTATGCAGCAGTCACTGATTGTGATTTCTGTCGAGGAGGTATGTGAAGCCACGACTTCATCATGTCATATGCAGTGAAACCAATTGCAACTGATGGAACAATCTGCAAACAATAGTGAAAATCATTGTTAGTAATCAAGATCTCTTGATTTCACTTGAAGCATGCTTTCTGAATACAATGAAGTGACAACCGAGGTGATGAACAAAGTTGTTAAAGGCTCAAGGCGCACTTAGAAGCAAAGGGGTCCTGGGGCCTAGGCGCAGGCCTCAGGAATCTGACGTACATCTTATAAAAAAAGTATATACACACACAGAGTTAAACACAACTCAAATATGTAGCAAATACTCCTGTGCAGCAATCAACTGTACTTCGATTGAGGCAGATTGGAGAAAGGTTCAAAGCATGAGCCATGAGGGAGAAGTTTTAAGGTCTGGTATTTGTGGAGAAAGAGGCTTGAAGTTATAACGATCGGGTATTTAATATTAGGGTTTGACTTATATCATCTATTTAATAACTCTTTTACGAAGTCTAAGAGATAAGAAGATGAGAAAACTTATTTAATATTGGGGTTTGACTTGGTATTTAATCACTCTTTATGAGGCACACCTTGGCCCACAAAGCGCCCCAGTAGAGGCCACAGGGTCTTGGTGAGCCTCGTGAATCCACCTAGCCTCGACTTTTAAAATGCCCAAGACCTTGAGCCTTATGGGCCTCAGAGCCTGGCGTGCCTCAGAGTAAGCTTTTAACAACTATGGTGATGAAGAAACACAATACCCATTCAAATCAGGGTTATTTAGGAGAACCACCATTTGACAAGTAAGTTCTTAAATGCATGAATTATTTACAGATTTAGAAACAACTCCGTGTAACAGAAGCATGCCACTTCTAACACAATAATGCCTTGAAATCTGTCAGAAGGTTATTATCTTACATAACGCTTCAAATCAACATCATATAATTGACCTTGTACAAAACCCCATGTCTGCAGATGTGTCATCACTCGCTAAACCAATCTGCCTCTTGTTATATATACACTTCGACCCCATTAATGTGACAGCAATTTCTGTTTTTGAATGTGAATAATAGTTGCAATATTTCCTTTTTTGGACAAATTTTGATGATGAATGACCTATTTTCTAGCGAGTAAATGGCATTTCTGAACATAGTATTCAGTCTTGATGTGACAACCAACCATTATGTTTTCACAAATGAAAAAAAAAATATTGTAGTTGGAAAAAATGAGCAAAATAGACAACTATAATATTTTATTTTGTATTTTTTTAATGTATAATCGTTGGTTAATAAACCATAATTATTAGAAATGCTACTCACATTTTCTAATCATCGTTACACAAAGTATTGACCGTAAGAGATATTGATTCTAAAAGATCATCTTGTTTTATTATCATAGTTAGGGTCAAACATTGCAATATTTTTTGGATGAAAGTATACGCATACATATCTACCCTGATGGTAAGACAAGGCTTAATAACCAAAAGGCCTTTGGCCTAGCAGCATCGTAGCCTTTGGCCTCCTAGGAGGTCAGGGGTTCAAACCTCACAATAGGTGAGAGTGTGTGAGTTTACTTGTTGCATTTGCAGTATATAAATATTATATACTTCAAAAAAAACAAGGCTTAATAGCATAACAACCAAACAGCCCCTTAATGTAACTAATGCTACAGTACTATTACTATCTATGAAAAAATGATTATAGTCCCACATACGTACGCAAGTCAAACAAAACAATATGCCAAGATATAGCAGAACCAGAAATAAAATTAGGTGAGCATTTAGTTCTAGAGCATGACCTTAATGTAATTAATGCTGAGACCAGCAAATAATTGCCTCCAACCTTGTTGGGAAACGATCGTGGTGAGCCCCTTCCATGTATTCTTGTGTCTAGCACCACCACCGACAGAACCTTGCAGATTTTCAACCTGAAAATGACATGAAATTATCAAAATCAAACAGAATACAAGTCACTAGAAAGCTAATTAAGCAAATGACCCTAGTTTCCCACATCTCATTTAAGAGAGTTTCAAAGTAACAGAAGGGTCGTTGGCGGAGCAGTAGGTCAAGATGATAGTGTGTATGTGAGTTTTGCCATATATAAATATATACTAAAAAGGAAAAAAAAGAGTTCAAAGTAACGTGTGGCTCAAAAAGCATGAATGGAAGGATGCAAAGTATTGAAGCAAAAACCAAAATAAAATAACAAAAACCTGCATCTGCCTTCTAACGACGTCTAAAGGATATGTGAAGGTTTGCCCAAATAAGCCAGCCAAAGCACCACAGGACAGACGCATCATGATTGATCTCTGTTGGTCCTCAGAAACATGCCTCTTGAGTTCTTCATAAATGTAAAACTTCAAGCCAGCATATGGCAGAATACCAATAAGAGTTGGACCTAGTTTTAGATAGAAAAAATAGAAGATAAATATGTATGTATATATATATATATATAGAGAGAGAGAGAGAGAGAGAGAAAATTTTATATACGGGAGCACCAAGACTGTAAAGTTTATCGACAGTAACCAGAGTTCACCCTCTCTCTTTTATTTTCCCCATAAACTTTATCTTCTCTTCAGTTATCCAAATCATCATACAACATCACGAGTATTTTGTTTGTCATATTTTGTCTTTTCTGGTGAATCCAGAAAAGAAATATGTATATTACTTGTATAGTTGTGTGTGAAGGAGATTTATACAAAATGAGGTGGGGGTTTAAAATTGAAGAATTTTAACAAAAATTAATTTATTGGCTGACAACTTGTCAATTTGGTTAATTTAGTTGACAAAAAGCCAATATCACATTAGATTACACTCTAGTTCCCATTTATCCTTGTTGTTTAGCACCTATTGAGGTGTTCATATCAAAGAAGGGATAAAAGAATATGATAAACCTACAACGATGCCACGATCCACAGTCCCTACATGAATCCCCATCAGTAACACTCAGATCACGCATGTCATGTGAAAAGGGTTATTTAAGATTCGGAATTTGGGTGCTTATTGCACAAATTTGTGCACTGACTGCTGATACATTTAAGATTTGCACTATTGATGAAGCTACATAAAAGAAGATAGAATGCAAATGGAAACATACCTACGCCTCGATACAAGCCACGCATCCCACCCTCCCTATAAACACTCACTAACACATTTCTAATGCCACTGTAACGAGGTTGTGCAATAATACTTTTAGAATCATTCCCCAAACTTGATTTTGCATCCACGACCTATAAAACCAAATACAGACCCAATAAGACACGATAGAAAATTCATATTAAAAACATTCCATCATACTTTGTGCAAAACAAAGCAAAGAACCCCCGATTAACACCATACACACATTACTTAAAAGACAACAGAAACTATATGAGCATTTTTCATTGCATAAAAGTCCACCCCCCCCCCCTTAAAATTATCCCCATTTACTAGAATGCAACAAGAAAATAGGGTCTACTCTTTTTCCAATTTTGTATCTACTTTCTAAAGTGTTACTAAATGGGAATATTTTGTTTTCTAGTCATAACCCTCCTCAAACAAAACCAAAAATATCAAGGGACAAGATAAGAATAACTGAGCCATCAGACTTTAATTAGCATTTTTCAAAAAAGAAAATAAATTCAGTAAAGCCAACATATATGGCAAAGAGAATAGTGAAGAACATGACTAAAAAAAAAAAAAAATAGTGCTACTGCATCCCATAAACAATACAACATTTGACTTGGCACATAGTTCTATAAAACCGTTTGACCATTATCAATATCATGTAATGATAATTAATAAGAAAAATGTAAATCTGAACAGGAAACTTGCCAAAAAATAGCATCGTTGCACTTTTGGGGGGTCTAGTACAGATTTGTAAGAGCTATTATAGCTCTTCTACTCTAAACATAGTTGTAATGTCATCAAAATTCAGCAAGTTCTATCAACTATTAAGTACTCGACCAAATGCTCCAAGACTCGAACAGTGTCAAATCATTATCCTTCACATGATAATCTCAAGAAATTATACAAAAATATCATAAAATAACTCACTTGATAAGCGAGTTTGGTGCGAGCCAAATCTAGTGGATATGTGCATAACACAGCAGTCCCTCCAGCTGCTGAACCAGCTAAAAGATCTACAACGGGCCCTGTTCCTAATACCGTGTAGTTGTCCAATATCCAACATCGGTATTGTTCATATGTCATGAAATGCAATGCTGCATATGGAACAATGCGAAGAACACTAGCGCCATTCCCTCTGAAAGAAGACCAAAAATCTAGTCAGATGTCACATTATCATTATTAATTAGCAAGGAGGATGTCAGGGAATGAAATAATTAGATGGCAACACTGTCATACTTGTAAAATCCTGGAAGTCCTTCATGCTTTAGTAGCCTCTTCAGTGATTGATAGACTCCAAGAGAATGAAAGCCTTGAGTTCGTGTCTGAATATCCAAAAATAGAAATGAGATAATCAGGTAAGAAATGGTAGTATGTGTATAATAGAATCCTCATAGATTATATAACAACATGCTAGACAGAAATGTATGGTATATTAGCAGAGCTTACAGATAGCACAGTGTGATGAATGATTAAGCAAATAGAGTAGAGCTTCAAATCAACAACGCATAGATTAGCATCAACAAACAAAAGTTTTGAGAAACAAGGCAAAATAATCATCCAAAAATACAAAAGTATTTCTCTGCCCCAAAAGGAATACGCAAAAAGGTTGCTTTTTTTGGGTTGTTCCAGGAAAATGCACCAATTCCATTTTTGGTAAGTTCCCAATCCAACTTTACCATTTTGGTCATTAGGAATCATTACATCATTTTGGTGACTCAGATTTTAGTCCACAAGTTCTCATTCTGTCCATATTGAGGGACATTTTAGATATTTGACCAATAGCCAAACACTTTTAAGGAATATGGGCACATCAAACATCGAGAGAGTACTACGATTCCAAATTTACCTTGTAGAAGTCAATCTCAGACATCTACAATCTTTGTTTCAAGTATAATCAAGGATCCAATTGCCTAAGTTAAAGGTGTTAAAATAAAGGATCAGATATAGTAGGACAGGTAGAATCTCTCTCACATAAGCACTTTGGTCTTATAATTTACAAGAGTACTTAAACGAGTTCACTGGGGGTTGAAATATCTATAACCTGGTGACTGAAGATGTCTGAAAATAAATGGTTTCAGAGTTTAAGTTGTTTTGCATGAGTTTCAAGATAAATGCACTATATGCAATAGATCTGCTGAAAACAAAATCAAATTAAAATATTACATTCACCAGACCACATAGGAACTCAATATGTTTACTGGCAAGTGCTATGATGAGGCTTTGTGGAATGTTTATTTTAACCATGATTTCTAAGTTCAGAACATCTGCAAGAAAAAAATGCCTGATAAATTAAGAATACCAGGCTAGAGCTACACAACACATCTAGATGCAAAAGATAAGCCCACAAGTCTTTGGAAGTGGTAGATTCAAAAAGAAGTATAGTCACTTGGATAATTTAAAATACTTGACAACTTGATCATTTTATAAGAAAATGGATAAACTTGGACTAAAGTACCATATGCTAAGATCCAAGGTCACTACTGATGATATACTCATACAGCCCAAGTTCACTATAACAACCCCTTCACGCAAGAACATACTCTAAGAAAACATGGTTCAAAAAACAAATATGAAGATGACCAGCAAGCATACAACTGAGCATAAATACAGAGCCCATCATAAAAAAGAAAAGAACTACTAGCAAGTCTCTGATTGCACATTATGGACCTCCTCCCCATTATTAAGGGTGCATAACATGGTTCACTATAGGAACTTCTCTAAGCTTCACAATATAGTGCCTCCCAATTAGCATGCTTGTTCTATTTTTTCTTCTTTTCTTTCTATAGACTGTTGATGCCCGCAAAAGGGAGTGAGATATGTATCTGTCATATGGAAGGGACATATCTCTCATTTACAGCCTGAACAGAACTTGGTGTGAAACATACTGTGGTTTAAATATTTGCCTTGAAGATCACAATTCTTGGAAAGTCCAAGTTAATCGAGATAATATGTCTTTTTATATTCAAATTTGAACCTGATTTCTCTTAGAAATGGGCATTGATAAATTTACCCCCATTTGAACCTGATTTCTCTTAGCCCCATGAGAGAAATAAGACTTGTTCTCTCCATCTTACTGTCTCTATTATTCTTTGCCAAAACTGGGACCGGTTAAGGCCTGGTTTGGGACTGATTAGGCTCAGTTAAAAGAGGTTAAGACTGGTTTATAAAAAAGCTTGCTATGTCTTATGATTTTGGCCTTTTGCATCCCAAATATCATATAACTGTTTTTTATTTGTCTCCATTCTTTACTACTAGGGCTCCCTTAGTCTCTTAATCAATCTTCCAATTTTTAAATTCATGATGCTAATACTTTACAGGTAATTTGGCGCAATTTGACAATCAACAAACAGAAACAGTAAGGGTCAAAGTAACATCATTGTAATCAAACCATAGTGGCATATGAAGAAACAAATAACTAAATACACAAAGCATAAATCAAAACCCCACCTGCAATAAGATCTTAATTCTTTCGAGTGGAGCAACAGCGGTTTTTGCAAATGCTCCTGCAGCACCTCCGGCTATTAGTTCCTTGACATACACAGGCAAAGTATCTATATATGAAACCTCTCTCCCTGTAGCAGAACCCTCAACCAACCTTGCCACATTCGTGGAAAGAGAAGAACCTTGGGAAGAACCCATCTTTGAAAAAAAAAAATTACTCCAAAAATCAAAATCCAAAAACCAACTTTCCTTTTGTTTTTTCAAGTACTATGGATGTCCTTATCCGCCCTGCAGTTTGAAATACTCTTTATCCCATCTATCTCTTACAGTTTGTTCAACGCAATGCACAGACAACAGCCGGAGCAGACACAAAGATACGTTCGCCAGCCAATCTTTCTCAACGATGACAACAACCATGTACATCAAACAATGAAAGTAAAAGATTAAAACCTCACAAACCGATGAAATCACCCTAAAATAAAATCAATCTTCCATAATGATCACTATTATCTAATTTTTTTCATAAATATCATGTGCAACGAACTTAAGAATATTCGGAATAACAAGAAACGAGCGTTACCCAATTCAAATCTCTCGATATAAAACTAATCAACTAAAAACCCTCCAACTAGAATCCAAATTTATAAAAATACAAGGGCAGACGGAGATAACAAGAGATCACCAATACCCAATTTAGATCCCTTGGTATAATCCCTAAGATTTCGATTGATTCTCGATTGTAGACGCGTAGGAGAGCAGGTATCTTGATGCATTTAATTTTTCCAGTTGGGATGCGAAACAAGAATAAGATACCCGTTCTCCTTTGTAATTGGAAAGCGGTTACCTTCCTTCCGAGTCTTCTCTTATTTTTGGGAGAGATTTGTTTGCAGATCTACAAGTTTCTTGGAAATTGAATATGAAATTAGGGTTTAAATAACGTTGTTTTCAAGTGTTGAAATGTGAACTGGTCAAATGGGTGAGCCCCTTTATTTGAACACGACGTTCGGATTGCTGACCAATATCTACCCGTCATGTGAACTTGCTCGCAAAGTTTTTATGTGAAATCGTGTAAAACATAATCTATAATATATTATAAATTATTTGAAAAAAATTCTTAAAAATTATTTTTTATGTATAAATTTATCTATACTATATTATAAAACATTTGACTAAAACTCTTAAAAACTCTTAAACTCTTAAAACTCTTAAAAACTCTTAAACTCATTTATCCCTAAACAATTTCATCCATATCCTATTTCATCAATATCTGAATTCGTGTAACTAACTGCAGATAAACACAATCAAATACAGGATAAACATCTCTTTTTAAATATAAAAAATCTAAAATATAATTAGTATAATCATTAAATTCTAACAGAATACTTAATTATTATCTTTATAAAATTTATAATATTAAACCAAAAATAAATTGTTTTATTATT